GCAGGCACAGCGGAACACCGCTCCTCCTGGTCCTCCTGCTCCGATAGGACCAGGAACAGATGGTCCAGGTCCCACTGTGACCGCCAGCCTTATCTTCACCTGCAGCGCTGGCACTGACTCTTCCGACATCGGCACTGCCGGCAGCTGCAGTCTCAGCACTGCCGGCATTGGCACTGATGATGGTGGTTCCGGCGGCCCCAGCACCGCAGGCCAAGGACCTGGCGGCACAGCAGTACCGGGTGCCGTGTGACCCCCTGGGCACTGAGGGGAGTGAGTAGGGCCCATTGCCAAGACTTTCCTCCTCATCCTCCCCAGATGAAACCATGGCGGGGACATGGGTCCTGCAACAGCTGCTGCGACAAGTGGCCCAGAACCTGGGAATCCAGGCAGAGGAGGTGGTAGAGGACGCTGACCCGATGGTTGACATCCTCGCCCCCTCCAGACCCTCTCGTATAGCCTTGCCATTAATAAAGACTATTGCCGAGACCACAAAGACCTTGTGGCAGACCCCAGCCTCTATGTCCCCTACGGCCAAGAGAAATGAGAGGCGGTACTTTATCCCTTCAAAGGCATACGAGCACCTATATACCCCCTCTCCCCCAATTCCCTGGTGGTTGATGCAGCTAACCAGCGTGAGCTCCAGGGCCATCAGGGGCCCTCCTCTTAAAAATAAGGACACTAAAAGACTAGACCTTTTTGGGGAGGAAGGTCTGCTCCACTGGGGGGTTGCAGCTCGCATTTCGAACCAGCAGGCCGTTGTTAGCAGATACTCGCATAACACTGGCGGCGCGATGGCCGAATTTGCAGAGCTGCTGCTGCAGGACTTGCATGCGGAGTTCTTGGCACTGGTGGAGGAAGGGAAACTAATTTCTCGGGCTTCCCTACAGGCCGTATTGGACGCGGCAGACATGGCCTCCCGCACAATGGCCACAGGGGTTGCAATGAGGAGGAGTTCCTGGTTGTAGGTCTCTGGTCTCCCCTATGAGGTACAACAAACCATCCAGGACCTCCCCTTCAAGGGTTCGGCCCTATTTTCTGATAAAATGGACAAAAAACTCCAGTCTAAGGGACTCAAGGGCCCTCCTCAAGTCCTTGGGCCTCCACATGCCTGCCACTCAGCGCAGGCACTTCTGGCCTCAGCCTCCCTCACAGTTCTACCAACTGCAGAACCAGCAGGACGCTTCTCGGAGGAGGAATAGGAGCGGCAGGAAAAGACAGCACCAGTCCTTGGGCCAGGGCTCTGGCCAGCCCAAGCCACCTCCTGGCCCCAGACCGGCCTTTTGAGGGTGCGGTCAAGGACGGTGCACCAATACAAGAACTGGATCTACCGCACCTTACTTTTTCGTCCCGACTATCTCCTTTCTACCATGCATGGTCCAGTATCACGCATGGTAGAGAGGGGATACTCCATCCAATTATGTGCCCTCCCGCTCTTCCAACCCCCTTCCCCATCCCTCCTCAGGGACCCCTCTCACGAGCAAATCCTTATTCAGGAGATGCACTCGCTCCTCTCTCTAGGGGCAGTGGAAGAGATTCCTCCGGAGCGAAGGGGCAAGGGTTTCTACTTCCGGTATTCCCTAATACCAAAAGCCAAGGGTGGGCTCAGGCCCATCCTACACCTGCGAGAACTCAACAAGTTCGTGCAGAAGCTCAAGTTCCTCATAGCCTCTTTGGCCTCCATTATCCCCTCACTGGATCCAGGAGACTGGTATGCCACCCTCGACTTGAAGGACATGTACTTCCATGTAGCAATAATTCCGCCCCACAGAAAATACCTTGAGGTTTGTGGTGAACAACAACTACTATCAGTTCAGTCCTCCCTTTTGGCCTGTCAGCGACTCCTCGAGTGTTCACCAAGTGCATGGCAGTCGTGGCGGCGTTCCTGCACAAGCGGCAGGTACAGGTGTTCCCATACCTCGACAACCGGCTGGTTAAGGGCCGCTCCAGGTCTCAAGTGGAGGCGCAGGTCGGCTTCATGAGAATGACATTTGGCGAACTGGGTCTCCTTCTAAAAGAAGGGAAATCAACGCTGTCCCCTGTTCAGAGGATAGAGTTCATAGGGGCAGTACTGGGCTCGACATAAGCCAGGGCATACCTCCCGGAAGCGAGGTTTCAGTCCCTGGGCAACATCACCTAGCAGGGAGATGTGTATCAGTCCTGACAGACAACACCACGGCAATGTTTTGTATCAACAAATGGGGATGCATGCTCCTCTCCCCTCTGCCAGGAAGCTTTCATACTGTGGGACTTCTGTGTAGAGCACTCGATACACCTCCAAACATCGTACCTCCCTGGAATACAGAACAAGTTGGCAGACCATCTCAGCAGGTCGCTTCATGGCCACGACTGGTCCCTTTGCCCGGACGTAGTAAACTCAGTCTTCCATCGGTGGGGCTTTCCCCAAATAGACCTGTTTGCTACACAACGCAACAGGAAGTGTCAGCAATTCTGCTCCTTCCTGAGTCACAGCCTGGGCTCCATCACGGACACATTCCTCCTCCCATGGTGAGCCGCGTTCCCGCCTGTCCCTCTCGTTCACAGGGTGCTCCTCAAGATTCGGCGGGACCGAGCTTTGGTAATATTGATAGCTCCGCCAGCACTGGTACACATCACTCCTGGAAATGTCCGTGGAAACTCCGGTCACCCTGCTGCTCTTCCCGGACTTAATAATGCAGGATCACAGCCACCTCCAACATCCAAACCTCGAGTCGCTCCACCTCACAGCGTGGAAGCTCCATGGCTGAACTCAGTGGAGCTCTCTTGCTCTGATCAAGTCAGACAAGTTCTCCTTGGTAGCAGGAAACCCTCCACGAGAGCTACTTACCTTTCCAAGTGGAAGAGATTTTCAGTCTGGTCTGTGCAGCATCTTCCATCCCCAACGCTCGCCTCAGTGCCACTTATACTGGATTATCTTTTCCCTCTCAAGCAGCAGGGACTGTCCATGTCATCAATAGGGGTTCACTTGGCCACCATCTTCGCCTTCCACCCAGGCGCAGAGGGCTGCTCAGTCTTTGCAAACCCAATGGTCAGACGTTTCCTTAAAGGTCTGGACAGGCTATTCCAGCAGGTCCAACAGCCTATCCCGGCTTGGGACCTCAATCTGGTCCTTTCCAGACTTATGGCATCACCATTTGAGTGCTTGGCGACGTGCTCCCTGCTCTATCTCTCATACAAGGTGGCGTTTCTGGTAGCGATAACCTCAGCTAGGAGGGTGTCTGAGCTCAGGGCCCTAACATTAGAGCCCCCTTACACTGTATTCCATAAGGACAAGGTTCAGCTCAGGCCTCACCCGGCTGTTCTCCCAAAGGTTGTCTCCCAATTTCATGTCAACCAGGACATTTTCCTTCCTGTATTCTACCCTAAGCTGCACTTCAGCGCCAGGGAGCAAAGGCTTCTCTCATTGGGTATCCGCAGAGCGCTAGCCTTCTATATCGAGAGAATGAAGCCGTTCAGAAAATCGGTGCAGTTATTCGTGGTAGTAGCGGACAGAATGAAAGGTCTTCCTGTCTCCTCAACGTATCTTGTCATGGATCACGTCATGCATATGGGAGTGCTACCGCTTGGCAAAGGTGCCTGCTCCTTTGATCAGTGGGCACTCCACCAGGGCTCAGCCCTCCTCAGCGGCATTCCTGGCGTAGGTTCCCACCCAGGAAATCTGCAGAGCAGCAATGTGGTCCTCCATACACACTTTCACCACGCAATCACCCAGCAAGCCAGAGACAATGCGGCCTTTGGGAGAGCAGTGCCACAATCAGTGGATGACTCCAACCCCACCTCCTAAACTCGGGCTTGTGAGTCACCTGGTTGGAATGGACATGAAGAAGCGCTGGAAGAAGAAAAAACGGTTACTCACCTTCTTGTAACTGTTGTTCTTTAAGCTATGTTGTTCATGTCCATTCTAATACCCACCCTCCTACCCCTCTGTCGGAGTAGCTGGCAAGAAGGAACTAAGGGGGTGGTGGGTCGGCAGGGCTATATATTGGGCACCATGAAGGTGCGACTCCTGGGGGCGCCCAGGCCGACCCTATGGATGCTGCTAAGGGAAGAATCTTCCGGCTGGTGTGCACATGGCTCGCACACCTGATTGGAATGGACATGAATAACACATCTCAAAGAGCAAGTTACGAGAAGGTGAGTAACCATTTTTTTTTCTACATGCCAATTGGTATAATCCCCAGTAGTCAAAGATGTGTGGTCAGGTTTTCAAAAGTGCTCGGCAGTTACAACTGGAGACAGATTTTCACGGAAGCTGCTTGGTGAAAATCCATGCACTTTATTTAGGTACCTATATGGAAGTGGAATTCTGAAAATTTGGCCCATAATGCCCAGAAAGGAGCTCTGCTCTGTGTGCTGTGTGGGTGTGTCTGCAGCTTGAAATCTATTGGAACGGTATTGCAGAATAAGTATTCATAATAATATAAGCCCCCATCCCCAGGAAATCCAAGGGTTATGTACTGAAATTGTCGGGCATAATGCTAGGTATGTATTGAAACCTTTGAGTCCAGTTTTGCCTGCAAAGCATAGTTAGCATGTTCTGCAACCCACAAATCATGAAACAATGAATGTGTTACCATTAAAGGGCATAATCTGCTACAAAACATATAGACAAGTTACAGACTTTGATCAAATCTAACTCCTTTTCCTTGACAGCTTAAAAGAAAAATACTTGGACCAGAAGCCAAAGCCATGGCCCCTTCTTAAAACGTCAAAAATTATGGAGTGCCAGATCTATAGTTAGCTCAACAAATGTACATGTCAGTGTTGCAAAAATGAACCTGTAATTTGCATTCAGTAAATAATTTTTTAAAAATGTAAACAGTGACATCATCAGGAAATACTCCTGTAAGTCCTGAATGGACAGAAATAGTGGGGTTTTTATGGCTGTTGATTTCATGTCTCTGGATGTGGCAAAGAGCTGGTCTAGGTCACTTTTTTGGGGGGAGAGGTTTTCTTCTCTGTATACCATGGAGGTTTCTGATTCTTGATGCCTCTTTTTCCAGTGCACTGAAGGAGCCTAAAGAGTTGAACTTCATCTTCGGGGTGAATATCGAACAGCGGGATTTGGATGGCATGTTCATCTATAACTGCAGTCGGCTGATTAAGATGTATGAGAAGGTTGGCCCACAGTTGGAGGGTGGCATGTGAGTTCCTTTCAGAAATCTTCAGAGTTCCCTTTGCTTAGGACCGAAATTGGCTTGTACAACAGAGCTAGAGAGGCAGCATGAACCATTTCCTCCATATACAGTACAGTCACTCAGTATCAGCCACAGTCATAGTCTGTTCTGTTTTATTATGTAATTTAAAGCCCCAGATTTCCCAGTGAAGATGAAGTTCTGCATCCAGAGACGGGAGTTTGCCCTGCAGTGACATAAGGTTTTTCTGCTCTGTGCCAGCATTTGGTACTGTGCCAGCATTTGGTACTGGGCCCTTCCCAGAGAAGCCTGCCGAATGAAAGTTGACAATTCCTCACTAAACTTATTAACCACTCCTGTGTCACAAACAAGACTAACCCTTGGGGCAAGGCAGGATTATTGGGGCTAATTGAACATTCAGAACTTGAAAGCAAAGATCCCTTTTTGTGCACAATGAGGAAAACAAAGACATTTACTCCTGCTGGAATTCTGTGCCACTGTGCAATGCAGAATTTGCGCAGAATTAATGTTCCCCACATAATTTTATTTTTTCCTGCAGAATTTGTGATTTCTGTGTGGAATAAAGAATGGCAACCCAGCCGTGCAGGGAACAGTAATGGCAGACCAGCCATATTCCTGCTGTTAGCCCCACGGTGACTGGGACTCCCAATGATTATATTGTGTTATTTTGACAAATAAAATATGCAGAAGTTTAAAATATTGTGTGCAGATTTTCTAATTTTTTGGTGCAGAATTCTCCCAGGAGTAGACATTTGACAGTAGAAAACTTTCTTCAGAATACAGCCCTAAATCTGTGGTGTTAACGGGTTGATACTACATTAATATTGGAAAAAACAGCACCAGAGTTTCATTGTCTGAAACGCATATTGCTGCAGGATGTACTCAGTGAGCCAACTGGTTGCTGTTCAGTGCTGCTCCCTTGGACAAGTATCTTGGTGGATGTTAGCAGTGGACAGTGTATTAAGGTTGTTTCTCACCCCCAGGGCATGTGGTGGAGTGGTAGGAGTGGTGGACATACCCTACTTGGTTCTCGAGCCCACCCACAATAAACAGGACTTCGCAGATGCTAAAGAGTATCGACACTTGCTGAGGGCGATGGGGGACCACTTGGCTCAGTACTGGAAGGATGTTGCGATTGGTAATGAGGCTTCACAACTTTACAGGGATGGGGAGGGGAGTCTGGATGGCTGGTGGGACAGAGGGTTGAGCTTACCAGAGGAGGACTTGGTATTCATGCTGCTGATAGTGACAGCATGATGAATGTTCTTGTTTTGTTTTTTGTGCAGCCCAGAGAGGTATAATCAAGTTTTGGGATGAATTTGGCTATTTATCAGCAAACTGGAACCAGCCTCCCTCCAGTGATCTGCGCTACAAACGCCGTCGAGCCATGGAGATCCCCACCACAATTCAGTGCGGTGCGTCTGACCGGGCAGAGGGAGCAGGGTGGCTGGGATTAGGAGATTGTTCTGCCATGTGGGCTAGGGAGTAGAAACTATGTTCAGAGGGCAAAGCAGCTCATGGGCAGGAGATGTTTTTTAGCATCTTAGTTTTTCTGCTACTTAGCTAAGCCAATACAGCTCTGGGAGCTGGATTCTTTTCTGACTCATGCTTCATCAACCAGATTGTTAAATTGTAATCTAAATTTTAATTGCCAAATATCTTGCTGGTGACGATGCACAAGCCAGACATTCAGAGCCCAGAGAGAAGTTTTGGGGCTGGCAGTATATTTAAAAAAAAAAAAAAAAGGTAGTCTTAACTGTAAGCTGGGAATACTGAGTAATCATCACTGAGGGGCTGAACATAAAGTCTCATAGGGCCATTTTTACAATCCCTCACTAGGACAGAACTGCACTTCAGTTCTCTCTTCTCCCCACCGCTCTCTTCCCCCCCATCCTCCCCACCCCCGGCTGCATTTTCTAGGACTTTGGGGAGTGTTCCCTCCCTTTGGAACATTGAGTGGGAATAGCCTGAGTATCAAATGGGATCATCCCACACAATTGCCTTTCTTGCCACTAAAGGAGACCCTGGACATTGACGGGTCTCAGCCTTCCTGATTATCATTTCCATTATTTTTATGATTTTTTTGGTTTTGTTTTTTAAAAGAAAACAAAACTTTGCAACACAGTGGAGTGTCTTGGAGGGAGATGGAAGGTGGTCCCCGATGCCAAGTGCTCCAGCAGCTGGAAAGGGTTGTTGTCACCAGACTAATGCCCTGAGAAGTTGTGAGGTCCTCAACGGCCAAATGGGCTTGCTGTGGACCCAGAGAACAGGCTATGTGTATGGCTTAGAATCTGTGTGCTGACTGTGTCGTGTGTTCTGTGTAACAGATATGTGTTTGAAATGGCGGACCCTCCCATTCCAGCTGAGCTCCGTGGAGAAGGAATACCCGGATACTTGGGTGTGCTCCATGAACCCTGACCCTGAGCAGGATAGGTGAGTATGAGTGAGGGCCATGGTAGGGAATTGGCATTAATGTGCCTTCGCTGTGCTGTTTTGGGCACTGATAGACTCATAGACTTTTAGGTCAGAAGGGACCGTTATGATCATCTAGTCTGACCTCCTGCACAACACAGGCCACAGAATCTCACCCACCCACTCCTGTACCAACCCCTAACCTATGTCTGAGTTATTGAAGTCTTCAAATCGTGGTTTAAAGACCTCAAGGTGCAGAGAATCCTCCAGCAAGTGACCCATGCCCCACGCTGCAGAGGAAGGTGAAAAACCTCCAGGGCCTCTGCCAATCTGCCCTGGAGGAAAATTCCTTCCCACTTGACTGGGTAGGTGATGGCGTTCTGCCTACATCACAAGATTCTGACCACAATCCCAGTGAATCCGGATGTTTCTACTGAAAATGAGCCTCAGTGAACTAGTTAACAATGTTGCCATTAGGTGACCTAATTTGTTTGAGGCAACCCAAATGAGGGGATTATCTTCTTTGACACTCTTCCTCTGGGGGGACCTTCCCGCTTCCCCCTCTCTCACACACTTTGTTGGTTTCAGTTGGGATGTCTGAAGCGAAGAGTGGTGTTGGGCTAATGACTGGGGGCACCCATAGAACAAAGATGAGGTACAAGTTAAGGGTTGCAAAATGCTGGATAAATTCAATTAATTTTAACTACCTGGAAAGTTTGACATGTGTGCGTAATTCTGTTAATATCCAGGAAAAGAAAAGCCTGACATAGGTGCTAACTTTCTTAAAGAAGTAGTTTTCAATTAATTCATTCTGTACTTAAAGTAAGCACTGCAAATTTGGGGAGGGTGGGTTGTATTTTTTCATAAAAACAAAGTCCGAATCCCTGCTTTAAGTGCAAAATGGAACTCAGCCTTAACTATGGAGTTGGTCAGCACCTCCATAAAAACACTGGCACCCATGCAGTCTCAATGACAGATTCACCTTCCAGGGAGGAAGAAAATTCCGCATCCCTATTAGAGAGGGGTGGTGGATAAGAGAATTCTGAGATGTCTTTTAAAGAAGGATAAATTACTTACCTGTAATTCTTTTCCTTAAATATGCTATTATCATAGGATTCCCACTCTTGGAAAATAAGTAGCTCAAGGGGTGTTTCAAATGGAAGCAAAGAACTACACAGGCAGTAATAAAGGCCATATTAAGTAAGCCAGAATTTAGCTTTATTGATGATTTGTTTGGGGGAAGGAGAGAAACCTCCAGACAAGCATGAAGTATAAAAACAGAAAGACTTGAGGATGAGTTGAACAAAATAGCCTTCTTGGCTAGCTCAGAATAAGAAAGTTCCTGAATTAAATAAAAACTTTAGGAGGTGGGAGAACTTGTGCTCCCTATTTTGAAAAGAGGTTTTGTGGAAACTTAAAATGGAGACCTATTCCTTTTCTGTAGGGGTGAATCATCGCTCGAGTGCATACCTCTGTACACTGCAGCATCGCTGGGGCTGGCAGGAAATGATGCTTATGATATGAGGCAAACATGAGTTAAGCAATAATAGTGTGGAATGCGATAGAAGTCTTCATACACTAAGAATTGGTATTCAGTAAACTAAGAGTTGCGTGAACTCTGGTGCTTCTAATCTGTTTCAAGTAGAATTCTTCAGACTTAACTGCGTCTGCGAGTGTGGAGGAGGGCCTTGCTGGGATAGGCCTGTGGTGTGAACAGTCTGTTGACAGGATGATAGGTTTATTAAGGTTGGAACACTAACACCACCTTATGGATAAAACTTAGACATTGTGATGAATCAGACTTATCCTTGTAAAATCTCCTCTAAGGTGGGTTATTAGTACCTGAAACTTAGCAGCTCTTCGAGGTAAAGACACTGCCACTAGTAATAAGATCTGCCATGTAAGAAACTTGAACTTGCAGGTACTGAGTGGCTCAGCAGTTGTCATTAGCTTTGTCAGATGCTCTTTTACCTAGGCTGAAACAGTTACCATGTAGACAAGGCGGAGTTGGTCTTTAAATTGTACTCAGAAGTGACAAAATAGCAAAGCAGTCATTTTGTGTAGAACAAGAAAAGACCTCGTGCACCTGTTTGCACCCCACTGTAAACCTTTACATGCACAGTGGAGGGACTTGTACCTTGATCTCACTTATTTGGAGGTCTTTGCCTTTTCATGAGCCAAGTTCTCAGGGACAGAGCTGCTTAGCTGGGGGCAGTGAGGTGCACTGGCTTTGTTTGAGGATCTGAAGCTAGACTCTTTGCCTGATAAATTTATCTTTGGGTATCTGCCACAGAATTAGGAACCAGACTGCCTTGGCCCATGTGAGGCTGTTGGGTTATCGGATCCTTCAGTTCCTCCTGAATTCTTTCCAGGACCATTGCTACCTAAGTCACGGGTGGAAAAGCAGCGAGGAGTCTCCTTCCCCAGTGGAGAGAAGTGTTCCATGCTAAAACAGTCTCTTCTTAAAGCCAAGAATAAAAAACTGCACAGACAGCCTAAGAGATCCACCTCTGGTATTCCCACTGGAGGAAGATTTGATCCAATACTCTCTGATTAAGAATTTACTCATGAAATTATATCATTAATGGACTCCAACTGTCTGCAGCCATGTTCTCCTTATACACAGTGCAGTGGGCTGATTGTCCATGTGAGTGAGGGCATCACTCTTTGGATTACCCAGTGTCTGAAAGTCCTTAGGGCACGGGGGACTGCCCTCCTCTCCAAAACATTGTGTGTTCTCGTTAGCAAAGCTGCCAGGATCCCAGGGTGTAGCGTGTGTCTGTGTGGGCTCTGCAGCGCAGGTGGACACATCTGATCACTGTAATCTGAATGGGCAGCATTTGTAAACCCATTCCTAATTGGATATTTTCCCTGGACTCCCTGGTGGAACACCTTTTGCATCCGCTGGGGAAGAAGACTTCAATGTGCTTTAAATACAGTACCTAAACTAGGAAGGGCTCTGGCAGAAGTTCAGGAAAGAGAACGATCCAGTAAGCTACAATAGCTTCACACCAGCCTGTTAATCAGAGAGGCCTAGATGTTGTCTGCAGACGTCCCAGTGATGCTTGCTTCCACAAGGATCTCTTGGGTCAGAGATTTTTCTAATGCATGTGTTGGGTACTCCCAATGCATTATCCCACTGATGAACACTGATCTGTCCACCACATCAACCGCTTTCTACTGTCCTCTCCTCAAGGGAGACTGCCCCAGCACAAGTGTTTCCTTAATGCTCTTCCTTCAGTGTACTGGTGTAGGAACGAGGAGTCCTCGCTGTCCTCAGGTGTTCTTGGTGAAGCTCGATCTCCACAGCTTGTGAACTCCAGTGCAAACCACGACACACACATTACTCCAGTCAGGTTGCAGTAAAAATTAAGCCGCTGGAGTCTGGCATATGCATAACAGGCCAAGTGTGGAGTCTAAAACCATCAGTGTAGAGTAAGTTTGAGGACAGTCTGAGGTGAGCAAGGCTGCCTGCCTCGAGTGGCTGCCAAGCAGAAGCACCACAGAGACCTTTCATGGGGTTTATGGTAGCCACAGCAGTGTTTCTATACAGAAAACAGAGAAATACCAGATCATTAACCCACAAAGTATCACCCTCTGCAGTAGAACTGATGGGCAAGAAAATTGGTGCCAGTCAGCTTAAAATTCAGGGAAAATTCAGGAATAGATGGAAAACCAGTTAAAAGAGGCTCTATGATGGTAGCCAGAGGGATCTCCTCAGTTGTCAGCAGTAATGAAGGAACTGACAGTTGGAGGCAACATTGGCCGGAATAGTTGACTGGCATTTCCCTGTGTGGCCCCTGCTCTCTGAATGGGTGGCTCATGCCAGTGAGCTCCCAGCATAAATAGGTTTGTTTTAAAGACTGTGTCTTTAACCCTTAAATTGTAAAGCCAGTAAGCTTCTATGTTTGCATTTCTGGCTGGCTAAAACCTGTGAATCTTTCTGATTGTTCTTGAGATTAGGATATTGCAGTAGTAGGGAAACAACTAGGTTTCCTTGAGGCCAATATTGCTCTCCCTAACTGTAAAAGCTTGTTGAAAGTCACGTTTTGGTCTCTTTCTGAGTTTGTCTATTATCATTTTCTCTATTGTAGGTGTGAAGCTTCAGAGCAGAAGCAGAAGGTGCCCCTGGGAACACTGAAAAAGGACTTCAGATCACAAGAGGAGAAGCAGAAGCAGCTGACGGAGAAAATTCGCCAGCAGCAGGAGAAACTGGAGGCTCTGCAGGTGAATCTAGAGACCTAGAGCTGAGCATGGTAGAGAGAATCTGAGACGCCTCCTTGGGCAAATGAATTTTGCTGAGTTAAATGTCTTTCTCAACCCTCTCTCATTTTATTTGTATTACCGTAGTGCTTAGGAGCCCTAGTCATGGAGCAGGACCCCCTTATGCTAGGCTCTGTACAAACCAAACAAAAAGACATTCACTCTCCCAAGGAACTTCCCATCTAAGTGTAAGACAAGACATCAGATAGATGCAGATAGACCAGAGAGTACAAGGAAACAAGGACAATACTGGTCAGTATGATAGGCAGTAGGCTTAGCATACCAGCAGACTAGCCACTGCAAAGTTTTTTGTAGGCATAATGGAAAAAGAGAATGTTAAGGAGTGTTTTGAAGGAGATTAGTGCATTCGTTTTGTGGATGTTTATGGGGAGCTCCTCCCACGTGTGAGGGTCAGCATAGGAGAAAGCATGAAGGTGCTTATTTGAAAATGTAATAATTGGATGATGGAAGCATCATGGACGAACTGGAGAACATATGCGGCGTAGAGTCCAAATCCTGTTCCTCAAACCTCCTGGGGTTTATTTTCGTAAAAAAATGAGCAGCAGTAAAACAAAGTTCAGCTCAGTCTTCAGGCTTCACTTCTTTTTGGACTCCTCCCTGTGGACTGCTCAGCCCACAGCCTATGTCCTCTCTTTATTGGGCCGCTCCCCATTTTTTTATAGTTAGATGGGGTGGTGAGCCACCTGCCTTAGTGATCCAGCAGTACCTGTTTAACATTCCCCGCATGATCACCACCTGCTAACAGGGTGGGTTTCAGGGAAACACTGATATCTTTTAAAATGACCTTGTTCCTGTTGTTTTACCACAGAAAACAACTCCAATCCGGTCCCAAGCTGACCTGAAGAAATTGCCTCTGGAAGTGACCACACGGCCTATCGTGGAGGTAAGTACCACAGCTCCTGTACTGCTGCAGACCTGTATGCTCCAGGACCATACTGAACTATTCTGTGAGCCATTCCTGACTCTTTATTCTTCCTCTATACTGCGCACTCTCTTCTCCCAGGACTCCCAATCACTGAGCAGACCTCAACGCCCGCGATCTCCTCCTTTACCCGATGTAATTAAAAATGCTCCCACCAGGCCGCCGCCGCCTCCCCCCAAGTCCATCAGCCAACTGCGAAAGGCCCCCCTGGCTCGGCCAGCCATCAGCACTCCCAAACTGGCAAGTGTGCTATCCAGGGAGGAAGCTAGTACTTCCAGGACACAGCAGCATATTGTGACTGCGGGAAAGTCAAACAGCACAGTTGTCAGGACTCCTGCCAAACCCATCCATGTGGGGAGGCCACCCCCCATGCTTCTGCAGAACTCCATGAGCCAGCGTGAGACTCCCAGCCCCAAAATTGTAAAGACGCCGGTGCTGAAAAAACCTGCAGCACTCAAACCTCCCCAGGTGAGTCCGTTATTTGGTAGGATGGGAGATCATCAAAGCCCTATCCCCCTTACCCAGCATCTTCCTCACCTCCAGGTGTGAGACCCCTCCCCGCACACTATATTAATTGCATAGGATGGAAGAACCGAACTGTGCTAGGGGAGAGCTCAACGATATCTCCTCAGTGGGATCACTTGCCCCAGCTGCTTCCTGTGAGACCCCAGTGATTGCCCTGCATGGGGTAGAAACATGGCAACTGGTGCATGGTGATGAAGGATACTGGTGGTATTCGTGGCTATCCCTTGTGGCATGGTGTGGATAAATGATGTGTGATATGATATTTGCTAGGATCTTCTGTAGAAAGTCTTTTATGGTCAGATTTTCAAAATGGCTCGGCACCCAGCTGCTCCCATTGTCCTTAGCTGGACCTGTTGGGTGCTGAGCTCTTGAAACCCTGGCTACTTTATGTAGGTGGCTGTAGAGGCCCTGAGCTCGCCTGAAAGCCTACCCCCTTGAAATGGATGGTTGGGGGCACTCTTGAGATTCAGCCAGAAATCACTTGCTCTCAGCAGGCCTCCAGCATCCGCAAGAGGACATTGAACACCATGGAGGATGGAGCTGAGGAAGAAGTGGAGCAGAAGAAGGAGAAAACGAAACGGGGCAAATTTGTGGTAGTGAAAGAGGAGAAGAAGGACTCAAACGAGGTGGTGGTTGAGGTGAGGATTGCAGTGGGTTCCCTGTGGCTAGTGAGCTCTCATGATCTTCCTGGGCGATGGCTAACATGAGCTCCTTATGCTTACAGCTCACAGACAGTGCAGGGGAGGAGGAACTAGCAGATCTGAAAAGAGCCCAAAAAGGTGAGGAGCAAACCATTAAACTTGGAGTTACCATGTTTGTGCCAGAAGTGACCATGGTTTGCCCAACCCCAAGGAATTTACATACAGTTTAACTGATTGTGGCTAAGGTTGCTTTGACCGTGCTGAAACATGGCAGGCTGGGACCTGCAATCTCTGGGCTGCACATTTATATTAACGGTGAAGGGGGCTTTGGGCTTCATTGCATGAATCAGTGAGCTCTCCTGTTTGTAGTGTACTGCCGCAAAGAGTCAGCAGGGCTGTCTGTGGAGTGTAGTCCCCTCACTCGTTCCCAGGCAGTTCGATCCGTGTCGTGGGTTACAAGAAAAACTTCCACAAAGGGGAGTGACTCATGTCCCATTCCCAGGACACGTGAAGGGTGGTGAAAACTCTAGGTTCTTCTTCGAGTGATGGTCCCTGTATGTATTCCATATGTGGGTGTGCATGGATGCCATGCGCCTGAGCCTGGAAGCTTTCCTTAGCAGTGTCCGTTGACCCACACATGCGTCATGTGTCCCCTTGTGCTCACAGTCAGGGGTGGCAGGTTTATAGAAATTTTGGTGGTGCTCAGAACCCGCAAACCCCCCCCCCCAACTCTGCCCCCCACCTGCCTAAGGCTCTGGGAGGGAGTTTGGGTCGGGGGAGGAGGTCTGGGGTGCAGGCCCTGGGCTGGGGCAGCAAATTGGGGTGCAGGCTCTGGGAGGGAGTTTGGAAGTGCGAGGGGGTGCAGCGGGAGGGGGTGCAGGCTCTGGGAGGGAGTTTGGGGGTGGGAGGGGGTGCAGAGGGAGGGTTGCAGGGGTGAGGGATTTGGGCTGTGGGAGGGGGCTCAGGGCTAGGGTAGAGGGTAGGGTGCAGGGGGATGAGGGCTCTGGCTCGGGATGAGGGGTTTGGGATGTGAGAGGGGCTCAGGGCTAGGGCAGAGGGTAGGGGTGTGGGGGGGGTGAGGGCTGTGGCTGGGGGTGTGGGCTTTGGGGTAGGGTCAGGGATGAGGAGTTTGGGGTGCAGGTAGGCTTCCCCGGGGCTGGGGCCAGAGACGACGATTTCCCCCAGCCCTCTCCCCGCTGCAGCAGTGAGCTCTGGGGGAGGGCCGCCCCCCCCAGCAGCACACTCACCCCACACCATTGTCACTGCACCCCTTCTCAGGTACAGGAAGCCTCCTCACCTCCCCTGTGGTGGGTGCCCGGGGGCTTCCATCACATGTGCGCCTCCTCCCCTGCTGCTGCCCCTCACTGGGGGTGAGGGTTGGGGCTTCCTCTTGCCCAGCGTGGGGCAGGAGCAGACACTGTGGGCAGGGGGGGCTGTGCTGGTGGAGGGTCCCACCGGAAAAGGGAAGGGTCCGAGGCAGAAGGGCAGGGTAAGGGCAGCCTGCCCTGCCACTGGTGAATTGGAGGGGGGGCACTAGGACCCTGCGGCAGCAGTTGATGCTGGGAGCCAGCAGAGCAGAGTCAGCTTGGAGCTGCAGGGGAGAGGCAGGGATGCTCTGGTAGGGCTACCATATGTCCGGATTTCCCCGGACATGTCCGGCTTTTCCCGGACATGTCCGGCTTTTCGGTCTATAAATAGCCGTCCGGGGTGGATTTTTAAAAATCTAAAAATGTCCGAGATTTCCCCCCGGTCGGCTATTTATAGACAGAAAAGCGGCGATCAAGCGCTGCTGGGCAGCCAAAGCCCCTTCCCGGCTCCCCCCATCCCCTGCAGCCTTACCACACTGTCCGGCCCCGCAACTGTCTTCCCCCTCCTCCCCTCCCCTGAACGCTCCGCCCCCTGCTCCTCCCCCTTCCCTGCTTCCCGCAGGGGCAAGTAGGAGGCAGTAGCAGGTAAGCTGGGGCAGGGGGGGCGTGAGGAGGAGAGCTCCAGGGAGGCGTGGCTCTGGCCGAGCGGCTCCCTCCGGCCCGGGCCGAGCGGCGCCCGGCGGCCCCAGCGGCTCCGGCCCAGCTCAGGCCCCGGCGGCTCCAGCCCCGGTTCCGGCCCCAGCGGCTCCGGCCCCGGTTCCGGCCCCAGCGGCTCCGGCCCCGGTTCCGGCCCCAGCGGCTCCGGCCCCGGTTCTGGCCGAGCACCCCTGGGCCCGGCCCAGCTCGGGCCCCAGCAGCGCCGGCCCCGGGTCCGGCGGCTCCGGCCCGGCTCCGGCCCTGGTTCCGGCCGAGCACCTCCGGCCCAGCCCCAAGCTCCGCAACCCCGGCCGGAGTGCAGCCTGATTCCTGGGCTCTTTAAAGCCGGCCCTGGTCCGGGGACAGGGAGGGGGGGTTGGATGGGTCGGGTGTTTGGGGGGGGGGG